GTAGCTTCTGCGGACCATGGGAATCATAGAGAATGTAGAGTAGCTTCTGCCGTGGGTCTGCTATGCTTCCTAAGTTCAGAACCAAACAGGAACTCCATAAATGTTGATCGAACAGCTGTCAGAAATATCAGTTTGATCACATCACTCTGTTGTTTAAAATCCTACAATGGGTCACTAGTGCCAGAGGCTTGAGTACACATTTCTTAAAAGGACACACAGTCCTCTCTCTCACGCTGGTCCCAAACTGCCCTTCTCTCCGTGTCTTACCAAGCCCCCAGGCATGCTTCTCGTGCTCCAGCTACACTAAACTATTTCTCATCCTCCTAAATAACGTTCTCTATAATTTCCAGAGGCCTTCTATGAAATCATCTAGTTAACTTTACAACTTTGTTTTGTTTTGTTTGTTTTCTGAGCCAGTACCTTACTCTGTCACCCAGGATGTCCTGGAATTCATCATGTGGCCCAGTGTAATGACTATTCTTGGTTGTCAGCTTGGCTGTTTCTAGAATTAACTGAAACCTAAGTGGCTAGATATATGTGTGAGGAACTTATTTTCTTAATTAAATCATTTGAAGTAAAAAACCCACTTTTAATCAGGATATTTTAAGATAGGGAGACACCTTTTTAATCCAGATATTTTGAGCTGGGAGAATCCAACTTTAATCTGAATCACACCTTCTGCTGGCAGCACATAGAAAGGATGCAGAAGGAAGCTCTGGCATTACAACCTGCTTCTTCAGGATTCCAGCATTTACTGAAGAGCAACTTCGATGTCCAGCCTCACAGGCTGAACAGCTACTGGATTCTTGGAACTTCTATTGGTATATTGCAATTTTTGGTGTACCACAGTCTGTAAGCCATTCTAATAAACATATATTCATTCTATGTGTGTATGCACATATATATTCTATATATTCTGTTCCTCTAGGGAACCCTGACTAACACACCCAGGTAGGGTGGTCTTGAACCAATAGTGATTCTCCTGCCTCAGCTTCCTAAGTGCTGGTATTACAGGTGTGAGCCACCAAATCCGACTAAATTACCTACTTTTAATAAAGTCTTATTATCCATGGTGCTGCATCTCAGCACACCATATCCTAATTATGTCACTTTGACACTGAGCACCGTGACCTAAACAGATTAGAAGCTCTCAGAAGCAAGGACCCACTGACATATTGTCTTCTTGTCTCAGGCCAGACTTTTTGTCCTTGAAACAATTCTTAGAACTCAGAATTCTTCTTCAAATTCGATCCTATCTTTCTCAAAAGAAAGCTATAGAGCCCAGGAAGATGAATTATTCCTTCTTATTTCTTGTTTTGAGGACTGTTTACCCAGAGGAATCATGCCAGAGGGAGAAATATTATGCAGAGACATCAAGAAGAATCTAAAGAGACAGGCCTTTCTAGGTTTCCTGCCTACCTAGCCCCTATAAAGTATATTATCATTAGATCACACCATTCCATCACATCATATTTAAACATACTTGTCTACTCTTGGTTAAATCTAAGCATAAAAATAACTTTCCTTGTGTATTTAGTTTTTATTTCTGAAGTGCTCACATCACAGAAAACTTTGATAAAGCAAATTTGTCATACTTTTCTCTTGTTAGTCTGTCTTTTGCTTTAAGGAAGATCATGATCTTCATGGTAGATGAGGAAAGCTTTTGTGGCCAGCCAGTGACACTAAAAGATTACATAGCCCCACATGTCACACATTTCCCATAGACTTCTTATTCTGGTAATACAGTCACGTAGATCCATTTGTCATGTTATCTTGCAATGATTTGTTACCTATGTCTTTCTTCTTCCCCACTTAATACCCCAAGGAACAGGGGTTATAATTCACTGAACTTTCCATTCTTACCACCTTCATATGACATGTCTCTACGTCTAGAAAACAACAGGTGATAGGTAATGTTGGATAGTAAATATAAATGAAAGTATAAATTTGTGTAGCTCTTCATGGTATTGTGTAGGAAAACCAGAGAAGGAACAAACCTCAGGATATTTAAAACTGCCACAGAAAACAGGATTCAAAGCCTTATTGTCAAAGCAAATTAGGAATTTTCTTTTCAAATGAGTCTTTTAAATAAATACACTTGTTTTATTGGCTGGCCACCCACTCTCCACTTGTGTTACTCTTTAAATGTAAAAAGTTATTTGTCCTCAGAATGTTCTCTCTCTATTTATAGTGGAATGGTACACCAGTACACCACCTACTGATTACCTCCTACATAATCTATATGTAAGACAGTATTAATTTCTTGAAGTCAAATCTTTTTATACAGTTTTTAAATAGCTCTAGATTGTTGTTAGAAAAGACTATTTTAGCCTGTCCCAAGTCCATATATTATCAAAACAGATGCTTCCCAGTGAAAAACAGCCATTATCTTCTGTAAAGGGACTTAAAGAAAATGTAGCCTGTGTTTCCCCCTTAAGCTGTGACAAATCATTGACTTGCTTGTGCACCCATAGCAATATGGGACAAGATGATGTATGGAAGACTTGCGTTTTCTTCTTACTAAGATTAATACATGCCCCTCCCTGCTATCAAAACAACTGCTAAGATATTCGCCATGCCAAAAATACCTTCAAGTGTGTGGATAAAATGAGAAGTTACAGGTACTGAGCAGGTAAACCAAGGCCTCAGCATTTGTTTCTGAGGCACAAGTTCAGGAAAGCAGTGACACCAAAGTGCAAAGAAGAGAAGGGAACCACAGAGGTTAGGAAAAGCAGAGCTGGGCCAGTTCAAGTAGGGAAGGGGCTTTGGTACTTTCATGAAGCTGGATGGAGATAGAGCTTCGAGTCTTACCTTAGGGTTACTGTTGCTGTGATGAAACACTATGACTAGAAGCAATTTGGAGAGAAAAGGGTTTTTTTTAGTGTACACTACCTCATTACTGTTTATCATCAAAGGAAGTCAGGACATAAATTCAAACAGGGCAGGACACTGGAGGCAAGAGGTAATGTAGAGTCATGGAGGATTGCTGCTTAATGGCTTGCTCCTCAGTCTACTTTCTTATGGAAACCAAGAACACCAGCCCAGGGATGGCACCACCCACAATGGACTGAACCTTCCCCCATCAATAGCTAATTAAGAAAATACCCTATAGGGTTGCCTACAGCCTGATCTTATGGAGGCTTTTCTTAATTGATGGTCCCTCCTTTCAGATGACTTTAGCTTGTGTCAAGGTGACATGAAACCATCCACTATGTGTCTAGCATGGAGTGGAGATCAATGCCATGATGGTTCACAGCACTCTGAGCCATACATATGCTTTGCAAGAATGGCCGGAGCTGGATACAGGCTCTGAAGCACCTCCAAACCTAGGGGTGGTTCTTATGCTGAGGATACGTATTTCCCAGAAAGAATGACCAATGTGAGCCCAAAACGAAAGGGATAGTCTCCTATTTCTGGGCATCCTAATGAAGACAACATATAATGTAACCCTAAAATGGTAAAAGTCACTTCCCAAAATGAACTCAAGGATGTGTTTTATACCATCATAGGCAGATAGAAGCTTGTGAAGAATCTTATATTTCCAACATCATAGGGTTTCTTTTTTGATTATTCATTTACTTAATGTGGGTTGTTTCTTCATATTTGTTATGCTTTAAAGAAAGAGTAGAGCTGAAGACAGAGAGCTTAAGCCTTCTGGGAAGAGACCTTATATGGTATTCTCATGTAGTTTTGCTATTTCCAAGGCTCAAGGATAGAAGTAAGAACAAGATTCATCACTAATGGAATATTCGCCTTAGTTCCTC